CTAGTGCAGAAACAGAACTTCACTGCGACGCGAGTGCTGTGGGTTTTGGTTCGATTTTATTACAGAAACAGTCTGATGGAAAATTTCACCCTGTGTTTTATTTCAGCAAAAGAACGACTGAGATCGAATCAAGATACCACAGTTACGAATTAGAAACTTTAGCAATTATATACTCTTTGAAAAGATTTCATGTGTATTTGCAAGGGATTTCGTTTAAAATAGTGACGGATTGTGATAGTTTACGACTTACCTTAGATAAGCGAGTGATCTGTCCTCGAATTATGCGATGGTGCCTGTTGTTGCAAAATTATAATTATTCAATTGAACATCGATCGAACAGTCGTATACAACATGTAGACGCACTGAGTAGGGTGACAAATATTTTAGTATTAGAAGGAAATACTTTAGAACAGACATTAGCACTAAAACAGATCCAGGACGAGAAAATTTTGGCAGTTAGGTCTTTATTGGAAAATGCTGAGCATCCTTTATTTGAATTGCGGAATGGGTTAGTCTATAGGAAAGTTAAAGGAAAGCTTCGGTTTTATGTGCCTGAAAGTATGGAACATAGTAGTATAGTGACTTATCATGACAAAATGAGACATGTAGGCGTAGATAAAACATTAGAATTGATCGCTCGTACTTATTGGTTCCCCAGTATGACTCAGAAGGTCAAAGATTATATAAGTAATTGTCTAAAATGTATAGAGTTTAATCCAAACGCGGGTAAAGGGGAAAGTGTTCTACATAGTATTCCAAAAGGACAGTTACCTTTTGAATGTGCCCACATAGACCATTATGGGCCTTTGGGAAAAACGCGTAATAAGAACCGGTACATTTTCGAAATTGTGGATGGTTTCAGTAAATTTATTAAATTTTATCCGTGCAAGACCACTAACAGTAAAGAAGTTATCAAACATCTAGAACTTTATTTTAAATCATATAGTAAACCAGTCACCTTAGTTTCGAATCGGGGATCTTGTTTTACTTCACAAGCTTTTTCTGATTTTATGGAAACCACCGGTATAAAGCATGTACTTATAGCGACGGGCGCTCCGCGAGCCAATGGACAAATCGAGAGGTATAATCGTACTCTAACCCCTATGTTAGGAAAGGCAACGGACGAGTTAAAGATTGATTGGGATAAGGCGCTCGAACAGGTAGAATTTGCAATGAATAATTCAATAAATAGGTCGACTAAGGAGACGCCAGCCAGATTAGTTTTCGGACGAAACCAGATAGGTAATGTGCAGGATAATTTGCGTTCTTTTCTGGAAGCAGAACTTAACGAACAGCCGAAAAACCTAGATACCTTACGGGCCGAGACCGCGGGAAACTTAGAACACTCTCAATCAATTAATAAGAAATATTATGATTCGAAACACAGAAGTCCTCACATATACCGTGAAGGGGAATACATAATGGTGGCTAACGTGGATAATACAGTGGGAGTTAGTAAGAAATTAATACCCAAGTATAGAGGGCCCTATGAAATAAAGCGTGTATTACCTAACGACCGTTATGTTGTTAACGACATTATAGGCTTTCAAAACACCCAGATTCCTTATGATGGCATTCTGGAAGCCTCAAGATTAAAGTCTTACACTCAATAATGAAAATACATTTCACTTACTTTTGATTGAGTTAAAGTTGGGGAGATTTTGAAATTAATCGGTATTTATGTTTGAAAATAAAATAAAATACTGTGTGGGTACCGGGAAAAGTGTTTGAATCGGTGCACCATGTGTATTATTAGATTAATCTTTTATGTCGGTTATTTTACTCTGAGTTAAGTTTATGAATTATGATTAAGACACTTGTGTTTATGTTTTATGTTTATGAAACTTATTATGACACTTATGTTAAACTGAACGATTTATGATCCTTATGTTTATGATTTATGATGCTTATGTTTACGACTTGTAATTATGACACTTATGTTTATGACTTACGTTAGCCATATGTTAGTAGGTTATGTCATGTAAATCGTGGGCGATTTTATGTCAGGAAGGCCGAGTTGTAGGCTGAAAATATATGCAATGTGGGTTGCCTAATGGTTTGTTTGTTAGATGCGGATATCTTACTGTCAAACGGCGTAACGTTTTGACATGTGAAGGATGTCACTTTATGTTCGGTCAAAAGGATGGTCTTATGTACTTGGTGCCGTTTTTATGCATCTGATTTTATGAACCAGTTTTGTGATTTGCTTTGTAAATCCTGACTTAAATATCAATATAGTTAATATCAAAGGTTATGGTAGCGTGTGTATTTTTGACGAAACCCGGCTACATATGCATTATTATATATTTCTTAACACAATAGAATTCAACGCATTTTTGGCATATTGATATACTCGTTAGTTTTCAAATCTAACAAGGACTTGGAAGCACTATTTGCAACGGATGGTCCCAGACGTGACATATTTTGAAGCACTATTTGGTTGAAACGACTTATGGTCATTTCAGCCCACTTTCGGTTTGACAATGCTGCAGATAGAGGTGAGCGAAATACGACTGATTACTCCGCTGCAATAGCATGGGTTTTTAAGTCTTTTGAAATCAAGAACTGTCAATTATGTTATTCTATTGAATATAATGAGTGCATATACGAAATGCTTGTTGGTTTCAGGGAGCTCTGTAAATCTCGTACGTACATGTCAAACAAGTCTAAGTAACGTCTAAAAAACATGGCATTAACCGATGCAAAAACGGATTACTGTTTAAATGCTGATTTATTCTGGAAAGCACAGTGATGCAAGTGATGAATGCAATACACCTTTTTTCCAGAAAAGTCAGGAATTGATGAAGAGTTGGCAACAGCGTTCGTGTACCTGAAGATATTATCCAATCCAGCTGTAACGTCATCTGTTCATTGCTGTTTGCCTTTACGAGGGCGAGTATGGATTATATTCCCTATTAATTTTGTAATTTGGCAGATTTCTTCCAATTTTCCGTCAGTTTCGGATTACAAGTTCACTACCTGAATGAAATGTAAACTTTTCAAGGAAAAGTGCATTTTAAAGTTATGCAAAGCCGGCTTATACAATTGATAAACGGTCAGGAAAGTTGTGTGAATAAGGTTGTGATTTTGGTACTAGAAAAGTATCGAGGACAGTTTGGAAAAATTGACGGTATTGCATCGGGTTTTAAATGAGGCTCCCAACCATTGATGTTTGAGGTTATCTGCTTTCGGAAAGCCAAAAACGTGCACGTTCGGGTAATTTCCGCGAGTGCATTGTTCAAAAACTTATTTCTTTAATCCCTAATTAATGTTTACAGCAATCAGGATTTTATGTGTATAATATCCGTATAATGTATGTGTAATCCCTGTTATATGTGTATTTTTTTTTTTCAACTTTTGAATAAAAGCCCCAAAAAATTAGTACTGACCGGCAACCCCGCGAAGTACCTACCATGTGGTATATCTTCTATGCAGAAAACCAGGTAAGTTAATAACGAAACCTCGCTCCTCAATCATCATTATCTGATTTGGTCTACAGCTCAATGCAAGTGCTCAAAGTGAAATTAAGTACAAACAGTGGAAGTTTTACTACGTTTATTCGTTATCGTCGACTTGGGCATTGCGCTCAAGTAAAAATAACAAAACCTACATTGGCGCAACACATGGTCTTTCGAGTCCGGATAATTTCCGGTAATTTGCAAGCTTCCAAAATCAGCAAACCAGGAACTACAGGAAAACATCATACCACGGGCGGCAGCATCAGCAAGCATTGAGGTCAGTCCTGTCCATTTTGGCAAAATCCTGATTCCCTAACTTACTCAACTACTGAGTCATAATCATAAAGATGAGGTTTGTGACAGTGGATTTCAACTGGAGGAAAGTCAAACTCAAAACATTTTACTTTCGACATATAAACTATTAAAAATCGTGTTTGTTTCAAATTTGGGCAAGAGTAAAAATGTTTTAGATAATTTCCCCGTCGTTGAACATGAAGCACAGCGATTAGAGGAGTCCAAAAACTCGTCATGGTTGTTAGCACTGACAATTCAACAGTTCGCAATTCCCAAGCAGTTTACCAGAAACAACAAAAGGTGGGAAATTTGCAGCGACTTATTTATGGATCTAGTACATTGGAGAAACTTGCGGCAATTAATAAAATAATATCTCCAATAAAACCCACGTTAGATAGAAGCAGTTCAAAAAAATTAAGTTTTTGAGTCGTGTCTATCATCTCAGTAAATCGTTATTCCAGCAAACAAAAAAGTTGAAGCTCAGAGGCGTTTATTTAAAATACGGAAGACACGTCTTAAGTAATAAGTTACCATTACCACTCCACTACCGTCAGCATATGAATCTGATATGGTGGCGTTGCGATTGGTTTACGAAAATTAGGTAAGAAACATGTACATTTAAAATCTAATATAAAGGGTTCCCGACCGGGAACCGCCGCGATCGACACCTTAATATTATAACATTCGGCTCACAAAATCAAAGACAATACTTAAACATTTATCGAATATCGAATACAAACTATACACATATAGAATATAACCTATAATATTGGGCCGAGCTGTATCCTTCAGTACAGTATTGCAAACAAGTTCAATTAATTTAAAAACGGACGGAATTAATGATACAATGAGTGTCCTGCGAAAAAAAAAAGGTAAGCGGTCTATCCAATCTTTCGACAGCTTTTTGAAGAAGCAAAAGAGCAGCTAGATGTAGACAATAGATGTCCCCGGATAGTATTAAGACAAACACATAGAGCCAATAACCAGCTCTCTCCGGACGTATTTAATTTATTTCAACTAGACATTTTTATTGCAAAAGTCCATTGTGCTAATGAGGATGAAGACATTGAAACTGCGAAACAACTTGCAAACGACTATAAACCGCTAGTAGACAACACTCCAGCTTTAATGACTATAAACGAAATAAGGCCTGTAAAGGGTAAGATGGGAAGCGCATTGGGAATATTCGGCAGTTAATTTCTAACCTTATATAAAATTGTGAGGCTGAACTATTTAAGTCAATTATAAAAAAATGTGAAAGGGATAAAAGGTCAAGCGACGACGATCAATTGAACGTTTTGTTGCCTGCCATTTGGGAGCGTTCTACCAGTTCCGCGACAATGGCCAACGCAATCGATATACCCAGATCTACCGTTAGCAAAATGTTAAAGAGGAATGGGTAATAACCAACAAAAATAATTGTTGGGTCCTGATTTGGAGATTAGGAGAACATTTTGCCAATGGGGCTATCAAATGGAACGAGCAACACCTAACGTTTTCCAAAATGTATTATTTTCTGAAGAGTCAACTTTCCAGTTCCAGGAGTGCTAGCCCAAACAGTCATCATCTTCACCATTATAATGTAAATCGCATAATACATACTTAATATTTTTAACAACTCGCGTCTAGCGACAGCAGAAAATTCCTGGCTTCCGCATGCGCAATAATGTTTATTTATGTTTGGGGGTTATGTTGCGGCCTTCAAATGTTTGGCGCTCAGCGGCAACCCAGCTTACAGCATTTGTGGGATCTCGATAGTTCGAGGACGAACGGCAATAGTCGATTACGCCATGGAAATCCCGAAAATGCTAGAATATTCGCCGGTCGACGAAAGCCGGTGCGCTGATATAAATACAGGAGAGACCGAACTTAATTTAATCAGATTTAGACAGCTATCAGATATAGTTTGAATTAGTGATTATTGTAGTTATTTTTTGTGAGTTGAATAAATTGTTGTGTTGTTAATTTTTATTACTAGAATCCGTCGAACCCCGGAAAAGGTAAGAATATATTTCAGATTATTCACGCAAGTGTCGTGTGCATTCTTTAAGTGTATCGGTTGTATTTTCTAAAGTTTTAGCCGAACTGTTACTATTACAAAATGACTAACGAATGTTCAGTATGTCAAAAGAAATTTTCTAAACACTCAAATTTAAGATGCCACGTAAAAAAATTCCATCCTGGTAAGTTGACAAAATGAGTGTGATAAATATACTATGTGATATTTTATTTACCACATTTGTCTTTCTCAATTTAGATTTATTAAATGAAGTCGCACCAAATAAAGTGTTTAAGTGTTCAGCTGTTTGCAACAAATGTAACAAAACATTTACAATGAAATCAAATTTGAAACAGCATGTACTAAAATTTCATGCAGGTACGTTCGTAGTCCAAACTTAATTTAATTTGTTGAAAATACCTGATTTTAGAGGAAGAGAATAAGCTGACATCGTCAAAGGTTTACCCATGTGAAATATGTCAGAAAAACTTCTCTGGTTTAAATCATTACATACAGCACAAAAAAACACATCAAGGTGAAGAGAGTGTTGATAAACTCGTACACTCATTCCAATGTAGTTTGTGCAATATTGTATGTGCTACAAAATTGTCACTCATAAATCATTTTGAACAAGACCACGGCATCAAGATTTCAGTTACTGCATTGGAATTTTCTAATGAATCTGATTTTAAAAATTGGAAAAGTAATTTAGAAGAAAAATCATATTCCCAGTACGT